TTTTTTTAAAATACCTAATCTCAGGTTTTCTTCCTTCCTCTACATAAGCTGCATTCAACTGTTAGTTTCAAGTACGAATTTTAATTTTCATGGTGCGAGATACCCAGTTGAATGTATGTTGAATGGTCAACACCTGAAAGTCAAGTTCTTTCATGGTTTTTCAAACCAGACAGGTAGAGTGACTTCAAAACCTTGCAATGATCTTTTGTGTAGATATAGTCCACATAGAATACTGCCACAAAACCACATTTTATCTTATTTTTTTTCTACTTTATCTTTCTGGCTACATTTGTATGAAGTACTTTCTTGATCTGGCTCATTTTGAAAGACTCATTGTGCATCACTAAAGGAAACTGACTGAGATAATGTGAAAGATTTTTAAACCATAGCTCTTGTTTGCTGCAAAGTCTTGTATTAAATAACCGAAGAAAACATGAACGTCAGAAGGTAACTTAGCATTGGTAAATATAACTTTGGATCAGAGCTTCTGGATGGATGCATTCTAGTGATACTGTATTTATTTTGATTCTAGGCTTACAAGCGAAGAGAAGGGTAATGTTGGAAGAGGTATAAACATTGCCATTGTGAATTGTAAGTAAGAGGAAAAAAAATGTTAGAGACACACATACCTTTGTACTGCAATAATTTACAAAGGGCTAGGGGTTTTTTTTGTTTGGTTTGGGGTTTTTTTACTAGCTAGTATAGAAGGAAAGGGAAAGGCAAAAATTGCAAATTTGATTCATGTTAAACGTAAGAAAAACAAATCTGTTTGAGAGAAATAGTCTTCTGGATAAACAAAAGAAACGTGTTCATAATCAGTATAAGAAATAGAAAATGTGTACGTAGAAGCGGTATATGTGTATTTTATTAGATAAAAGAACTGCTTCTTATGTAACATAGCAAAAATATCTGTGATCTCCAGCAGTAAGACTCAACTTTCAGGTTTAGTCCTTCGTAAAAGGTATCTACTGCTCAACTGATATGGGGCAAGCAGTAACTGAGAATTCCAGTTCTGCCCCAAGGTACAACCAAGGTACAAATTCCTTTTCCAGACTTGGTCAGTGGACAGAAAGACAAACTCAAAGCTTGATTAATATTAAACTGTCGTTATACATCTCTGCTTATAGTAGGAGCTATTGGAAAGCAGAAGGTGCAGTTTATTCCAGATCTGGAGGCACCATTTTAATTTAGATGAATGGGAATGGTGAAGAAGTGCAGAGTATTCAATAATGGATCCAGAGAAAAATGAATGCCTAAATGTTTTGGGGGAGGGGAAGAAAGGGAGTTCAGATGCACAGTCAAGTTGGCTTTGATCACAAAACACTTATATTCCAGGGTTTTTTGTCTCAGTATTGCTAAGCAAGATCTTGACCTTGTCTAAACTTGCACAATTTTATTGAAGTCACTGGGTTAAATTACCATAGACATGAACCTGTTCCAAAATTTTTTTTCCCCCAGTTAACTACTGCGGGTTTTTTTTCCAGTAAGGAATCATAAAAACTTCACTGGTTATAATAGGTAAACAGTTAAAAATGAGTTTTCAGCATACATCTGTAGAATAGAGGGTAAATACTCATCTTGAATGCATAAGCAAGATCATAGCAAATAGGGTAGGGAACTAGGATTGTCTTTGCATCTGACATTAGTGAGGAAAAAGAAGTGATATATCAAATTTTACACATTTTTAAACAGCCATTTCCTTCATCACACATATAGTCATTTTAGCTACACTTTCATCTCCATCTGCAGGTAAATCTGTCTATTATCTTGAACAACTTTGAAGTGAGACATATTTTCTACATGTCCTCTAATTAGATCAGTCAAGCTGACTCTGCTCAGTAAGTTTCCTATGGCATCACACTTGTATTTTATTCCATAATGATAACTCTTTCTTCTCTGAACAAATATGGTCTTTTGTGAGAAGGAAGACAGCACTATTAAACCCAAGCTAATAACACACAGGGAGAGAAAGAATTTTGTGGATATCTGCCGTCCTCACTACAGCCTTTTCCATTTTTTTGTGATCTCTGCTCAGAAGCAGCCCAGTTCTAGAATGCTGTTCTACCACTGACAGATTATTTGCCACCTTTTCCCCTCATCAGCATGATAAACTTGCCATTTAGAGTCCTATGTTCAGAAGCATTTGCCTTCGTGATTTGACCGTATATGGACCAAAAACAAACCAGAAAGGAATCAGAAACTGCTGGATCTTCTCACTAGAAATGAGCTGATGCACTCTAAATGGAAAAGACCCTCCCACGTAGCAGGGATCCAAGCAGGGTCTTGGATAACAAAAATCAATTAACTCAGTGGGCAGGTATTTAGAAATTTGAAAAGTATTTGCATTTGTACATGTCTTGCTTAAACAAAGATAGCCATCTAAACAGCAGCATAATTAATGATGAATATTGACCAAAATGTTTTGGAATTACTAATTGTTTGCATGCCCAATTTCTGATATGGTAATGATGAATGTTGAGTTTCTGTCCACTGACATTCAAATGGTATGAAAGCTTGCACATCTGAAACACCGTAGAGGATACTATTAAGCTCATTCAAATAGTCCTAGGCTTAACCAATTTTCCTGTTTATGGTTATGACCTAGTGTAGTATTTATAGATAGAAAAACATGGAAGCACACTGTAAATGGAATTCCTTCTTTAAAATAAAAAGTAATAAAAATGTTTTAGTCACATTTGATGATTCAGAGACTACACGAAACAAAATACTCTCCCCAAATCTTAAACTTAACGTTACTCCATGTTTCTTCCAATTTAAAAACTTAAACAAAAGAAAACAGAAGAAAATTCAGAATACACAGAATTAGAGATGCCTAGCTTTAGCTGAAAATACTGTATATGCTGATTGAATTTAATCATTTTTGCACATATTTACACAACTTTTTTTTTTTTTAATTACAGATAAAACAGGAAAAGTTACATCAGCAAAATATTTTGACATGTGGGAAGGAGGTAAGGAAAAGAGTACAACAGAGCTTTTGTTAGTGTTTTAATGTTAAGAAAGGACTTATAATTATCCTGCTCTTTCAAATGATTATCATTGCATTATCGACAGGGATCAGCTAGAAACAAACAGCTATTGTCTTCATAAAATATGCTCTGGCCAAACCTGATGACAAATTTTGCCTGAAAAGCTGAATTTCTCCTGTTGGTTGAGATAGTCAATTATCTTTTTTTTAATTGTCTTGCCTTTTTTTTTTTTTTTATTGTCAAATTGCCATTTTTTAATTATCTTTTTTTTTTCCCTCTATTATTTCAGTCTGGTAGGAATAACACTTAACTAGGTACCATATCCAGATACTTCACTCAGCAAAATTCCTTATCCTGACATATTTTGTTCTATTTGAGTTGTAAAATCATCATAAGAAATATGTTAGTCTGCCTCTTAACATCCTTCCATGTAGCTAGAAACATGATCTACTTTAAGAATAGCTTTTAATATGTTTTCCAAATTTTGAACGATAACAGTTTCCTTACTATTAGTAAGGAGAAACAGAATGAGGCACTGGAAGCTGATTCTCTGACCACTTAAGAATGCTTGTGACATTATGTGCATGAATAGAAATCCCATTGGGACTAATCATGGGGCTACAATTTTATATACAGTATGTAGGCTGTACTGTCTCCAGGGTGCCTGTTACCTTTTTTTTTGTATGGAAAACAAGAGTCTTGTGTATGTTTAGCAACTGCAAAACCAATAAATAGCTTAGTGCTGCAAATAGGCTGCCACTTAATGAAAGTGGGATGTACAGTGGGGTGTGCAACTCAGCTCTGCAGTTAGCATGGTAGTAGGAAGCTCACAGAATAGCGATGACTTCTCCTGGGTGATTCCATGCTTTGCTTGCATGTATAATATTATGTGAGGCAAACATAATAAACCATCTATACACTTACCCGGGGCATAAATGGCTTTTGTAGAAGGTCAGAAGTATCTTTGTTTACTACTGGGAAATGCAGATCAATCCATGCTCTCCTAACCTTCAGTGAGAACTAGCAGCTTTCTGCACCTTTCAAGATTAGGCCGTCTGCCTGTAAACAGAAAAATTGCCTCATTAGGTCTCATTGTGAATAATCAAGGCCAAAAAGTGAAAACAAGTTGAATGCAGGTTGAATGTGATACATGTGTAATGAATAATCAGTTGTGTAATTGATTCAACAGACCACTCAGGAGACATGGTGACTTTCATTAAAAATGCACCAGAAGGGTCCCTCCTTTTGATGGCGACTCATGATGATGGAAGTACCCGGTAAGCAAGTTATTCATGACAGGCTGAGGAACAGAGCAATGAATAGCTTGAAAATCACTATTGCATAATGGTGTAAAGGAATGGTAAATTTCACTCTCTAGTCAGGGTTATTCTCTCATTTCCTGCCTAAAAGTTTTTGATTCCATGTCCATTCAGTGCTTGCCCATATCATTCATGTATGTTGATACTTCCAAAGATGGATAGATAGTGTTACATTTGTTTAAAAGCACCAGTTGTCCTCATAAAGGACATTGCTGCTACCTCTGGGTCACAACCTTCTATTAAGAAGGCATCCACACCTCCAATTACAATGTATCTAGTTTGCATTGCTTCCTACAGCTTAACCTTATTCTTCAAGTGCTTTCAAATCTTCGGATTTTTTTAGTTGTATTCATGATATGGTAGTTATACAAGGAGGGACTTAATAATTTGGTTGATAAGCACTTGTTGCCCTTTTCCTTATTTAAGAAGGGTTGAAACATCAAATAGTATTTGAGATACATTTTTTCTTTCTGCTGTGCTGTTACAAACAGGTTGTATTAACATCAGGAATGTAGAGAGGAGGAAGAAAAAGAATTTTGCTCTGTGAGTTTAATGGCATGCTACTAAGAAATTTCTCAGGATTTTTTAAATTTCTCATTGTTGCTTTTGCTGACCTACTAATGTAAAGCATGAATCAGCTGTGTTCTTTTTCAGCATTTTTCACATCCTGAATTTTTAACACTTTTCACTAAATTTTCCTAGGTTGAAAGATGATGCCAAAAAATTAATAGAAGAGCTGGGAAGTAAAGAAATATGGAATATGAAGTTCAGGTCAAGCTGGGCTTTTATAGCTGCCAAAGGCTTCAAGATGCCAGATAATATCCAAAAAGAAAAGGTCAGATTAATTTTATTTTCACTTTGTATTTGTCTATCAGGTCTAACCTTCAGGTGCAGATTTCTTGGGCTGGCTATAACTGTAGTCTGTTCAGTAAGCCTCAGTCATACCAAGCAAGTTCTCTAAGGTGTCATCATTCTTTGCTTTGGATCTGGGCCATGTACAGTAGTACTGACTTCTACCACACCAGCACTAAATCATCTGTAGACAAATTTCAGAAGTGACCATCGATTCTCAAGAGTCTCAGTTTTCAAATGTCCAGCCTGACATGCTGTACAGAGACGTACTTTTTCTTCTGGAAGGACAAATAGCAAGGACTTCCTAAAAATAAAGACTGTTTTTTTGTGAAAATTGGGCTGTCTCAAATTGACCGTGCAAATACAGCAATGCTTGCATCACAAAACTTTTCTGAATAACTTGGCTTCAGGAGGACTAAAGATACCATTTTTATATCAGATTTCTGTTTGCTTCTGTGACCTTGTTGTATTTGCTTTCTGTAAGTCCAGTAGTGCTCATCTGTATGACAAAGAGGCAGGCAGAAATGAGAAAACCCAATACAGAGGTCAGTTCCCTTCATGATACTGACTCCCTCCAAAGGCATGTGAAACTTCCATAGGGTTTTTTTTTCCCCAGAATATTGTTGCAATCTTCTTCACATTACAGAGCTTCTGCAGGAAAAAGGTGTTCAATTTAGTGTATATTATGACATCTGGGAAATAAACAAAGCACTCTGTGTAAGAGAGAAACTGGTGGAATCTTCACCCATTATGTCGAGCAAGATGTGCAATGTGCTACTTAGCTTCCCAGTCCTTCCCCATTACCCCCTTCTGTTGTATGAGGTTTGACTACCTAGTTTGTAAATGGAGAACCAAATACTGTTTGGTTTTTTTTGTTGTTTGTTTGTTTGTTTGTTTTAAAAAAAATACAGATAAACCACTCTGACAAGAACAACAACAGATACAGTGGCTGGCCAGCTGAAATCCAAATAGAAGGCTGTATCCCAAGAAACCTGACCTGAACAAATGCATACCTCATTAATAAAGATGATTCTGTATTTTTATATGTATGACTCCAGTAAATTGCCTCCAGAACCCAATGTTTTAATTGATTTGTTTTAATTATTTTTTCTTCCTGTAAGTTTAACTTACTTAAAAAAATGTAGTGACTTCATGCAAGCTTAAGTGTTATCCATGCTAACTGTAGGACCAAACACATGATTCTAAGGGAACTGTAGAAGCCATTTATTCAGTTTCCGTTTTTCTGAAGCACATCAAGTGCGTCTGGACCTTTCTTAATGGTGTTTGTCCCCCTGTTGTTCAGAAGCCTCCCATATGGCAGATTCCACAGCTTAAGTTGCTTCCAGTAGCATTTCACTGTTATTGTAGTTATTCCCCAAACATACTGAATTCACCTAAAAGGACCAGGCCAATTATATGGAGAATAACTCATCACCATTCTTTTTATGCCAGTCTATTATGTATCTGAAGACTGTCCTCATCAACTCTCTCATCCCTAGACTGAATCTACCTGGTATGTTTTAATCTTTCTTTACATTTTTCTCAGCATTAAAATGTTAATTTAGTGGCAACTTTCTTAACATGCTGTGCTTCAAATGGTTCACAGCACTCTATGCAGCTACTTACGAGCGTCCCATACTCTAGACTTTGGGCAGGAGAAAATCCGAAGTGGTGACCTGAGAGGATGGCTGCCAACAGCCAGGTTCAGTCTGCTCTTGCTCTCTGTGTTGCCTGGTTGAAGCCCTCTCGGTGGCCCTCCAAATCTCTACCCTTGTCGCAGCTGCCACTACCTACTTGTAGTCACTGCTGTGTTCCCTGCAGCATTCTGGTATCATGTCCCCCAACAGTCCCTAAAGCTAGAGTTCCTGCCACCAGTTACAAAATACTCCATAGCCCAGGAATGCTGCCAAAGAAAGCAGTTCAATTAGTTTGACTCAATTTGACTTTGGCAGACTCACAATGGTGGCTCCTTATCACCTTGTTACTGATGAGGTGGTTACAAATTGAGTACTTAAATAGCTGTTTCAATGTTTTTCCACATCTAAGTCATTCTTCTGTTGTTCTTTTTGCTTGTTCATCCTACAAGTTGTGTAGGTCAGGGGCCTTGTTTTGGTATTTTACACGTCTAATAGTAAATGCACGTGAACTATTGGAACTCATGCCAAACTTGGCCTCATTCTTGAAACCTAGGGATTTGGATGGAAGACCCAAGGTTTGCCAGCAGTTGCAGGCTACTTTGCAGTTAAAAAAACTTCTCTGCATCTGCTGCTGTTCCTTACACATGTGTTTTAGCAAGAGAGGAGAGCTATCGTATGTGTCTAGCTTCCGTGTGAGCCTGTGGTGGGACAGAGCTGCTGTGAAGGTACTTCAGTGCTTATTCCTTGGGAGGTTGTGAGAGAGTGAAAGAGATAATGTATGTTGATGTCTCAAACACTGTGGCCCAGACAAGTTAAAGTCTGCATAGAGACAAGGTAAGGTCGCCATAGCGACAAATTAGGGTCTGCATAGCACCACTAAACCACAGGTGAGAAGCCTGGCACAGAGCCGGAAGGAAGGCATGTTGGAGGATGCACAGTTCCGCCTTCCGATGTGCCTTACCACTCACCATATATGGCCAGAGGTCATACAAGGTTCATTTGAGGAAGGGGCTCACAACCCCCTGTGACCACCCCCCACAATGGCCCCTGCGCAGAAGACGAATAACATTCTGGAACAAGAACCATATGAGCCTTCAAGGGGGCAAGACCAGAGGTGGGGACTGGCCTGTAAAAGACAAAACTCCAAGGAGCCAAGTGTGCACCCACCCCCGGAGGATTGCTACGTTTGCCATCGACATCATGGGATCCAAGGGTGGTGATCTCTCTCTCTCTCTCTTCCCTCTTTTTCCTTCTTATAAGCATTCTGATTAGCACTCACGTTGTCCACCGTTACACTTTCCTAATTCAGGTTGCCTACTGTTACGCTTTCCAAGTTCAGGTTATTTTTTACCATCAATAATGTGTTTAATCGATCGACTGGAGTCATTTCACCTTAATTTAGCCCAAGGGAATCACAGAACCGCTACGATCCTCCCTGGGCAGCCCAGTTTGGATCGTGACATAAATTGGTGTCATGGACAGGATTCCCTTGGTGGTGTCAAACCTTCTCAATGAAAAAGCCTATGGCAGGCCATGTTTTAGAGAGCTTACAGAAAACTGAGTGTCTCCAGTTGATGCATAATCACTTACTGGTTCTGCAGCAGCCCTCCGCCATGCAATATACAGCAGACCCCGATAGGTTTCATGCCTTTGTAAGGGGACTACCCGATGCCTTGAAATTATACATGGTACAACTACAAGATCAGTTGAGAACACCCCGACCCTGGCAAAGAGGAGGTCCCCCAGAGATGACATGGGGGGAAGTAGATGTAAAAGACATAGTTTTTATGGTTCCCTTGCAGGAAGCACAGATTGTTTTGCTTTTACCTGGGAAGGGGTGCAGTTCCTTTTTACACGTTCCTCAGGGATACTGCCATTCACCGATGTCGTGGTTTAGC